AAAATACGTTGGTGGTCTTTTTAAAAAGAGAGAGAAGACGCAAAGAGATAAGGAGCAAGGAGGGGGGAGGGTGGAGGGAAAAAGAAAAGGGAAACGGAAGGGCCCAGCGGAGAGGGCAAAGGAAGGGGGGGGGGGGGGGGGAGCACAAAACAGGGAGGAAAGCGGGGGGGGGGGAGGGGAGGCAAAAAGGGGGGGCGGACGGGGAGAGAAGCGGGCGAGAGAGAGAGGAGGGAAGGACGAAAGGCAGACACCGAGAAAAGAGGGAGGGACCGAGCCAGGGAGGAGCGAGCCAGGGAGCGAGAGAGCGAGCGAGCGAGCGAGCGAGCGAGCAGCGAGCGAGCGAGCGAGGAGCGAGAGAGCGAGCGAGCGAGCGAGCGAGCGAGCGAGCGAGCGAGCGAGGAGCGAGCAGCGAGCGAGCGAGCGAGAGAGCGAGCGAGCGAGCGAGCGAGCGAGCGAGCGAGCGAGCGAGCGAGCGAGCGAGCGAGCGAGCGAGCGAGCGAGCGAGCGAGCGAGCGAGCGAGCGAGCGAGCGAGCGAGACGAGCGAGCGAGCGAGCGAGCGAGCGAGCGAGCGAGCGAGCGAGCGAGCGAGCGAGCGAGCGAGCGAGCGAGCGAGCGAGCGAGCGAGCGAGCGAGCGAGCGAGCGAGCGAGCGAGCGAGCGAGCGAGCGAGCGAGCGAGCGAGCGAGCGAGCGAGCGAGCGAGCGAGCGAGCGAGCGAGCGAGCGAGCGAGCGAGCGAGCGAGCGAGAGCGAGCGAGCGAGCGAGCGAGCGAGCGAGCGAGCGAGCGAGCGAGCGAGCGAGCGAGCGAGCGAGCGAGCGAGCGAGCGAGCGAGCGAGCGAGCGAGCAGAGCGAGCGAGCGAGCGAGCGAGCGAGAGAGGACGAGCGAGCGAGCGAGCGAGCGAGCGAGCGAGAGAGCGAGCGAGCGAGCGAGCGAGCGAGCGAGCAGCGAGCGAGCGAGCGAGCGAGCGAGCGAGCGAGCGAGCGAGCGAGCGAGCGAGCGAGCGAGAGCGAGAGCGAGCGAGCGAGAGAGAGCGAGCGAGCGAGCGAGCGAGCGAGCGAGCGAGCGAGCGAGCGAGCAGCGAGCGAGCGAGCGAGCGAGCGAGCGAGGAGCGAGCGAGCGAGCGAGCGAGCGAGCGAGCGAGCGAGCGAGCGAGCGAGCGAGCGAGCGAGCGAGCGAGCGAGCGAGCGAGCGAGCGAGCGAGCGAGCGCGAGCGAGCGAGCGCAGCGAGCGAGCGAGCGAGCGAGCGAGCGAGCGAGCGAGCGAGCGAGCGAGCGAGCGAGCGAGCGAGCGAGCGAGCGAGAGCGAGCGAGCGAGCGAGGAGCGAGCGAGCGAGCGAGCGAGCGAGCGAGCGAGCGAGCGAGCGAGCGAGCGAGCGAGAGAGCGAGCGAGCGAGCGAGCGAGCGAGCGAGCGAGCGAGCGAGGAGCGAGCGAGCGAGCGAGCGAGCGAGCGAGCGAGCGAGACGAGCGAGCGAGCGAGCGAGCGAGCGAGCGAGCGAGCGAGGAGCGAGCGAGCGAGCAGCGAGCGAGCGAGCGAGCGAGCGAGCGAGCGAGCGAGCGAGCGCGAGCGAGCGAGCGAGCGAGCGAGCGAGCAGCGAGCGAGCGAGCAGAGCGAGCGAGGCGAGCGAGCGAGCGAGCGAGCGAGCGAGAGAGCGAGCGAGCGAGCGAGCGAGCGAGCGAGCGAGAGATCGATCATCGAGCTACTATCGATAGTATCTATACTATCTAGCTATCTATCTAGCGAGCATCTATCAGCTAGCTATCGCGAGCTCGCACCAATCGAAAAGCAGCTATCTATCGATCTATCGATTATCTATCTATCTAATCTAATCATCTACTATCATCTATCTATCTATATCTATCTATCTATCTATCTATCTAGCTACTATCTATCTATCTTCTTCGGAATTTTGTATTTTTAAATAGAAATTTTCGAAATTTTGTATTTTTTAATAGAAAATTTTCGAAATTTGTATTTTTAATAGAAAATTTTCGAAATTTTGTATTTTTAATAGAAAATTTTCGAAATTTTGTATTTTTAATAGAAAATTTTCGAAATTTTGTATTTTTAATAGAAAATTTTCGAAATTTTGTATTTTAATAGAAAATTTCGAGATTTTGTGTTTTTAATAGAAAATTTCGAAATTTTGTATTTTTAATAGAAAATTTTCGAAATTCTGTATTTTTAATAGAAAATTTTCGAAATTCTGTATTTTTAATAGAAAATTTTCGAAATTTTGTATTTTTTAATGAAAAATTTTCGAAATTTTGTATTTTTAATGAAAAATTTTCGAAATTTGTATTTTTAATGAAAAATTTTCGAAATTTTGTATTTTTAATGAAAAATTTCGAAATTTTGTATTTTTAATGAAAAATTTTCGAAATTTTGTATTTTTAATAGAAAATTTTCGAAATTTTGTATTTTAATAGAAAATTTTCGAAATTTTGTATTTTTAATAGAAAATTTTCGAAATTTTGTATTTTTAATAGAAAATTTTCGAAATTTTGTATTTTTAATAGAAAATTTTCGAAATTTTGTATTTTTAATAGAAAATTTTCGAAATTTTGTATTTTTAATAGAAAATTTTCGAAATTTTGTATTTTTAATAGAAAATTTTCGAAATTTTGTATTTTTAATAGAAAATTTTCGAAATTTTGTATTTTTAATAGAAAATTTTCGAAATTTTGTATTTTTAATAGAAAATTTTCGAAATTTTGTATTTTTAATAGAAAATTTTCGAAATTTTGTATTTTTAATAGAAAATTTTCGAAATTTTGTATTTTTAATAGAAAATTTTCGAAATTTTGTATTTTTAATAGAAAATTTTCGAAATTTTGTATTTTTGCAAAAAAATTAAAAAAACATGTATTTATTTTTAAATTTTTATTTCATTCTCTTAATTACCATTTTCTTCCTCCTGTATGTTCATACCAATAAAATCCACAATTTCTTCCTTATTGAAATAGTCGCCGCAAAAACGTATGCGTTTTTCTTTATTTTTCTGTGGTATAAAATATAAAATTGGATATATCGTATCAGCTATTTCCAAAGGTATATAATTTAACCGAGCATCAATTTTTATCACTTTCAACGAAAATTTTTTCACATCGCTGGCTACTTCTTCCAAAAGCTGTACAAATTTTTCGTTATTTTCCGTATTCGAATAATAAATTGCCAATAATAAATTCTTTTCAATGGAGGAAATGTATAAATTTAAATTATCTGCTATACAAGTTTTAGCCAAGTTGTCATCGTATTTACTGGGCCAAGGTTCAGAGAAATAAAGTTCCCCCCTGGATAAACTAAAGCAGAAATAGAAAAGAGAGACTATAGTTTTAAAATCTTTCAAAACAAATTTGTTTTTCTTAAGATCCACACCAATTACTGTGGGTGTTATATTTTCACTTTGAATATTTTTGATGAAATCTTGTTGTTTCCATTTCGGATTTATAACATCTATATCTTGGTAGTCAGCTATAAAATATTCTCTACAACCACTTAGATTTGAGGCTACTTGATAAATTTGATCGATCCATTTTAGATGTTGTGCCAAACATTTGCCACATGAGAAGTCCATAAATGCTATTATTAGAAATTTGTTGATTTTCAGTGAAGTCTTTCTTTCAAATACTTTCATATTGTAAAGACAATTATCCAGTAAATATTGTTGCAAATCCTCGAAATTCATATTAAAATCCGTTGTAATTTCTAAAGGTTTATATTTATATTTACAAAATTCTGTATTTGGTTGGCGTAAAAAGGTTTTAGGATCTTTTAAATAGGATTTTACGCAGTTTACTATATTGTCTGTAGTTTTGGGACCTTTAAGAAAATCTATATAATTGGTTTTATCATTTTGAGGTATCAGTAATAGGGCAGAATAGCAGCCCCTGTCCAACTCAAAAGGTAAATCATTTTTATTACAATTAATATAAACAACATCAACATTAGACGATTTTAATTGTTGAGCTACAGTTTCATAATTGGGTTGACTTTGTGGGTTTATATGATAATCTCCTAAATTCACTATTAGCAAAATATGTTTCGGTGAATTTGTTACCAATTCTTTGAAGTTATCATGAACACAAATTTTAACTAAACTAGAGTTATTTGGTTCAGTTATAGGTTCCGATATAAATAGACTACCGTTTAATAGTTCTTCACATAACCTTGTTAGTTCTTCTAAAGTTACGTCGGACCTGTAAAGCTGATGTACACGTTTCTCTTGATCTATGGCGAATATACTGCCAGTCTCTTTTTCGGGATTTAGTAAATTCCAAAAAGCGTATATAGAGTTTAATTTTAAATGCATTATATCTATATCTAACATATCGCCGGCTATAAATACAATGTGATCACCATAATATAAAGCCAGTTGATAGAGTTTATCCAAACTTTCAGTGTGATAGGCACATTTTTCACGAAAATGATTGAAAAATATTATAATAGGTTTTGAAATCTGCCGAAATGTTGAACGATTTAATATTTTCACTTTATTTTGACATTTATCGCGTATGTAATCCTCAAAGTCAATAGGTTTTAATGGAGGCTGGGAACGCTGGTTGTATTGAGGATAACTAGCAGTAAGAGGTTTCTTAAAATAAACATCTGAATCTGAATCACTGAAGTATTCGGATTCATTATCACTATCCAGAAAAATTTCACTAAATAGATCCATGTTTTTTATTTTTTGGACTTACGAGGTTCTGAGAGAAACGCAAATACTTAGTTAACGGTTATTAGTAAACTAAAAGTGTAGTCCTAAATAAAGGGGTTTATATTGTTCAGATTTACTGATATGGAGATAAAGCTTTATTATGAAATTCATACACTGCGAAAAATATCAAATATTAAGTGGCACTAACTAACTAACTTATGTTTAAAGAACAATTTTAAAAATTTGACATTTTAGATAACATTTTACTAGTTAAAAAGACATATGTATTTATTTTAATCTTTCATTTTATTTCTTTAATTTATCTGTTTCCGCCTTCTGTATATTCACAGTAATAAAATCCACAATTCCTGCTTTCTTTAAGTTGTTACTTCTTAAACGTATACGTCGATTTTTATGTTTCTTCGGTATAAAGTATAAAATTGGATATTCTTTATCGTCCATTTCCAAAGGTATATAATTTAAACGAGCATCAATTTTTATCATTTTTAACGAAAACATTTTCACATCTCCGGCAACCTCTTCCAAAAGCTGTAAAAATTGTTCAGAACTTTCCGTGTTCGAATAATAAATTGCTAAAAATATATTCTTTTTAATGGAGGAAATACATAAATTTAAACTATCTGCTATACAAGTTTTAACCAACTTGCCATCGTAGATATTAGGCCAAGGTTCTGTAAAATATAAATCTCCGCTGTATAAATCATAGACGAAGTAAAACAGGGAGGCAGTAGTTTTAAAATCCTTCATTAGAAATTTGTTTTTCTTACGATCTATACCGATTATTGTGGGTTTTTTATTTTGTTTGAAGTCTTGGGGTTTCCATTCCGGATTTATGACATCTATATCTTGGTAGTCTGCTATAAAATATTTTCCATGACTAGACAGATTTGAGGCCACTTGATAAATTTGATCAATCCATTTAAGATGTCGGAGCGAACATTTACCACCTGAAAAGTCCATAAATGCTATTATAATATAGTGATTGTCTTTCATTGATTTTTTGCGGTCAAAAACGTTCATATTGTAATGACAATTATCCAGTAAATATTGAGGCAAATCTTCTAAGTTCATATTAAAATCGGGTGTAATTACTAAAGGTTTGTATCTACATATACGATCTTGTTGCTGAAGAAAACTTACTGGATCTTTAAGGTAAGATTTTACGGAATTAACTATATTTTCTGCATTTCTAGGCCCTTCAAGAAAATCCACATATTTGGTTTTATCATTTTGAGGTATCAGCAATAGAGTGGGATAACAGAATATACCCAATTCGAAGGGTATATAATTCTTTTCACTATTTATATGAACAACATCGACATTAAACGATTTTAATTGTTCCGCTACCAGTTCATAATTGGGTTCATATTTAAGATTTTTATCGGCGTAATCATCTAAATTCACTATTAACAAAATATGTTTTGGAGAATCCACTACCAATTCTTTGAAGTTATCATGCACACAAATTTTAACTAAACTAGAGTTATTTGGTTCAGGTATAGGTTCCGATTTAAATAGGCGATCATTTAAGAGATTTTCACTTAAAGCTGTTAGTTCCTCTAATGTACTATGGACACTGAAAAAGTGATGTATACGCTTCTGTTGATCAATGGCGTATATATTAGGAGATTCTCTTCGAGGATTTACTAGATTGCTGAAAGTTTGTATAGAGTTCCATTTTAAATTGATTATGTCTATATCCAACATATCGGCTGCTATAATTTCAATTTTATCTGCATATTTTAAAGCTAGTTGATAGAAGTTATCCAAACATTTGGTATGATATTCACATTTTTCCCGAAAATGATTGAAAAATATTATAATAGGTTTTGAAATCTGTCGAAATGTTGAACGATTTAATATTTTCACTTTATTTTGACATTTATCTCGTATGTAATCCTCAAAGACAATGGGTTCTAATTGAGGCTGAGAATGTTGGTAGTATTGATAATAACTTTTAGTAAAGGGTTTTTGAAAATAAACATCACTGTCGGAATCACTAAAGTATTCGGAGTCATCACTATTCAGACAAACTTCACTAAAAAGATCCATGTCTTTTTTCTTTTTTTACTTTAACGGTGCAGAAATGCAATTTAACCGGTATGGGGTTGAATATATACTAATGTTTTTGCTTTGGTTCCTTCTTAGTTTTATATTGTAAAATAAAAGTTTAGCCTAGTATATGGGGGCTAACATGGAAAGCTTTATTATGAAATTCATACACTGCAAAAATATAAGTACTTGTTGTGAAATTTCTTTAACGGCCAAACCGTTCGGTTAATAGATTTTGTTCCGCTCTAATGCAGTTCTAGTTCAATTCAAGCTTAGTTCTAAATCAGTTCATGTTCAGTTCCAGTTTAGTTCTAGTTCAGTTTTAGTTCAGTTCTAGTTCAGTTCTAGTTCAGTTCTAGTTCAGTTCTAGTTCAGCTCTAGTTCAGTTCTAGTTCAGTTCTAGTTCAGCTCTAGTTCAGTTCTAGTTCAGTTCTAGTTCAGTTCTAGTTCAGTTCTAGTTCAGTTCTAGTTCAGTTCTAGTTCAGTTCTAGTTCAGTTCTAGTTCAGTTCTAGTTCAGTTCCAGTTCAATTTTAGTTCAGTTCTAGTTCAGTTCTAGTTCAGTTCTAGTTCAGTTCTAGTTCAGTTCTAGTTCAATTTTATTTCAGTTCTAGTTCTAGTTCAGTTCTAGTTTAGTTATAGTTCAGTTCTAGTTCAGTTTTAGTTCAGTTCTAGTTCAGTTCTAGTTCAGTTCTAGTTCAGTTCTAGTTCAGTTCTAGTTCGGTTCTAGTTCAGTTCTAGTTCAGTTCTAGTTCAGTTCTAGTTCAGTTCTAGTTCAGTTCTAGTTCAGTTCTAGTTCAGTTCTAGTTCAGTTCTAGTTCAGTTCTAGTTCAGTTCTAGTTCAGTTCTAGTTCAGTTCTAGTTCAGTTCTAGTTCAGTTCTAGTTCAGTTCTAGTTCAGTTCTAGTTCAGTTCTAGTTCAGTTCTAGTTCAGTTCTAGTTCTATTCTAGTTCTGTTCTAGTTCTGTTCTAGTTCAGTTCTAGTTCAGTTCTAGTTCAGTTCTAGTTCAGTTCTAGTTCAGTTCTAGTTCAGTTCTAGTTCAGTTCTAGTTCAATTCTAGTTCAGTTCTAGTTCAGTTCTAATTATCACATTTGCATTAACTAGGACATAAGAACAACAAGGTTTTATATTTTTTAAATGAGATTTTATTTATTCTTAAAATTTATTTATTTTTTTTACATTTTCTTAAACGCTTATCCTATCCTCCTCCTCTAATTCTCCTTTACCCAAACTATATCCAAAATAGAATAGTGAGGCTGGATTTTTATATACCTTCATTTGAAATTTATTTTTATTTTGATCAATACCAAATACCCTTGGTACCATAGATTCTGGCGAGGTATTTACAAAAAAATCTTGCGATTTCCATTCTGTGTTTATAACATCTATATCCTTGTAATCAGCTATAAAATAATTTCTTCCTTCTAAATTCATGGCCACTTGATAGACTTGATCAATCCATTTAAGATGATGAGCTAAACATTTATCATTTCTGAAATCCATAAATACCAAAATACTGCAATAATTTTGTATATTTTCAAATTCTGAACGCTCAAATACTTTTAAGCAATCACCACATTTTTCTTCCAGATACTGAGGTAGTTCATTCATATCTAAATTAAAATCGGGGGTTATTTTTAAAGGATGATACCAAGTTGTACTTCTCTCTTTTTCTCTAAGTTCCTCAAAAGCTTTACGATCTTCTATGTACAGCTTTACAGTGTTGATCATATTTTCTTCTATGCTATCGCCTCCAGTGGGATGACATATGAAATTTGTTTTATCATCTTGTGGTATAAGTACCAGGGTAGTATAACAGGTAATGCCCAATTCATATGGTACATAATTCTGCTCACCATTTATATAGACAACATCCACATTATATGGCTTTAACTGTTCAGCTACCATTTCATAATTTGGACCTTCATTAGGTTTAAGTTCCATATAATCTGTATGATTGACTATAAGCAAAATGTGTTTGGTGGAATTGGTAACCAATTCATGGTAATTATCATGGACACATATTTTTACCAGACGGCTGCTATTGGCCTCTGGCAAGGGTTGAGATTTAAAGAGTCGATCATTTAAAAGATCTTCACATAATTTTGTTAGACTTTTCACATTTTGCTCATCGGCATAGTGTAGTTCATGCACACGTTTCTGTTGATCGATAGCAAAAATGAAGGCATTCACTTTTTCAGGACTGACATCACCGTAAAAGAAATCTAAAGCAATTCTTTTGAATTTTAATAAATCTATATCAAACATATCAGCCGCTATAAATTCAATGCGTTCTCCATATTTCAAAGCCAATTGGTGCATTGTATCCAATATATTGGTGTGGTAGGCGCATTTTTCACGAAAATGATTAAAAACTATTATTATGGGTTTCGAAATCTGTTTGAATGTTGCACGATTTAATATTTTTATTTTATCTTCATAATTTTCTTGAACATATTCCTCAAAACCGATGGGTTTTAAGGTTATTCTTGATGGAGTCGGAGGTTTTTCGGTATACGATTTAGTTTTATATTCGTAATCACTATCCGAATTATTTCCACTGAAATAGATTAAATCGTTTTTTTCCATTGCGTTGAAATGCGTTAGTAGCCGGTATTTAAGAATGACTAACTTTTAATGTTAAACTTTTAGGGAATTTTTATCATAAAAGTTTATATTGTGTTTTGTTACAAGTTATTGAGAGAGTTGTTGTAACAGAGAGGGGAGGTAGAGAAGAAAAATTTTTTGGTAAAGCTCTTTTATAAAAGGAATTCCAACACTGCGAAAAAAGTTTTCGTTATAAAATGTTTGAGAAATAATATAATAATATTTATAATTATGAAGAATAAACTAACTAACTAACTACTAACTAACTAACTAATTATTTAATTACCTAACTAACTACCTAACTAACTACCTAACTAACTAACTAACTACTAACTAATTAACTACCTAACTAACTAACTAACTAACTAACTAACTAACTAACTAACTAACTAACTAACTAACTAACTAACTAACTAACTAACTAACTAACTAACTAACTAACTAACTAACTAACTAACTAACTAACTAACTAACTAACTAACTAACTAACTACTAACTAACTAACTAACTAACTAACTAACTAACTAACTAACTAACTAACTAACTAACTAACTAACTAACTAACTAACTAACTAACTAACTAACTAACTAACTAACTAACTAACTAACTAACTAACTAACTAACTAACTAACTAACTACACTAACTAACTAACTAACTAACTAACTAACTAACTAACTAACTAACTAACTAACTAACTAACTAACTAACTACTAACTACTAACTAACTAACTAACTAACTAACTAACTAACTAACTAACTAACTAACTAACTAACTAACTAACTAACTAACTAACTAACTAACTAACTAACTAACTAACTACTAACTAACTAACTAACTAACTAACTAACTAACTAACTAACTAACTAACTAACTAACTAACTAACTAACTAACTAACTAACTAACTAACTAACTACTAACTAACTAACTAACTACTAACTAACTAACTAACTAACTAACTAACTAACTAACTAACTAACTAACTAACTAACTAACTAACTAACTAACTAACTAACTAACTAACTAACTAACTAACTAACTAACTAACTAACTAACTAACTAACTAACTAACTAACTAACTAACTAACTAACTAACTAACTAACTAACTAACTAACTAACTAACTACTAACTAACTAACTAACTAACTAACTAACTAACTTACTTACTTACTTACTAACTAACTAACTAACTAACTAACTAACTACCTAACTAACTAACTAACTAACTTTGTATTTTCAATAGAAATTTTTCGAAACTTTCAATAGAAAATTTTTATTTTTCATAGCAAATTTTCGAAATTTTTTATTTTCAATAGAGAATTTTCGAAATTTTTTATTTTCAATAGAAAATTATCGAAATTTTTTATTTTAATAGAAAATTTTTGAAATATTTTATTTTCAAAGAAAATTTCGAAATTTTTTATTTTCAATAGAAAATTTTTGAAATTTTTTATTTTCAATAGAAATTTTTCAAAATTAAAAATTATATTCTAAATTATTTTACCGAGGTTAGTTCTTAATTTTCCATGCCTTTCGTAAGCCCCATAAGCAATTAAATCTCAAAATAATTTTAACACGATTTCGATTTGTTTCTTCTTATTATTTTAATTACACATTTTTTCTTCACTTTCCTTAACATTATTTTTGACAAAATCAATAAGATCTTGAGGATTTCTACTTAAGCTACATAGTATATTACGCTTATTAAATTTAGATATAAAATAAAATACTGGATATTGATCACAGCGAAATTCTAAAGGTATATAATTAACCACAGCATTAATTTTTAATATTTTTACAACCGACTTCTTAATATTACGCGCTATATTTTCTAAGGCAAGTAAAATTTTACCATTATCTTTATAGTTCAGGGTATAGACAAAAAGTCCTATATGTTTTTTACAATTTTTTATATACAACTTTAAATTATCGGCTGTACAGGTGGACACTAAAGAACGGTCATGTTTTAGTTTTGCCGGTATAAGTTGGGAGTAATAGAGCTGTCCTTTGCATAAATCGTTTAAGAAGTAATATAAGTTATCTACATTTTGCCAGCAATCGTATTGGTATATATTTTGTTGAAGATCAAAGGCATAGATTTTGATTTGTTTTTCAGATAAAACTTTCGAAAAGTTATCACATTCATAATTTTGTGTTATTATATCAAAATCTTTATAGTCTGCTATTAAAATTTCCACTTCAAATTTAAAGTTCGCTTGAAGTTCTTGAAGTTTTTGGAGATATTTGTTTAAATGGGAAGAGTTTATATGTTCTAAATTTCCAAAAATAAGCAATACATTTTTTCGACCTAGTTGAAAATCGTAAAAATATTCCCGGTTGAAAAGTTTAATATTATTACTAAAATGTTCAGTTAAATCTTCCAAGTTATCGAAATTATAGCTTAACGGTTTCTCTATTTCTTTTTCGGTTCCATTAAGTGAATTTTCGATCTGCTGTTTAAGCCATTTTATCACATATTCTTCATTTCTGCAGCCGTAACCAAATTTGGTAAAAATATTTTTATTCTTTTCAGGAAAGTACACTAAAGTTGGGTATAGTATACAGTTAAATTCAAATGGTACATAATTTTTCTCAGCTATTAGGTAAAAGACCTCTAGATTATAATCCTCAAGGGCCAAGGCCATTTTTTCATAATTGGTGTCATATGGATTACAGCCTCGTTTTTTACCCACTACCAGTAGTATATGTTTATTGGATTTTAAAATCAATTCTTCATAATTTTGATAAACACAGATTTTAACTAAATTTTTATCATTATCCAACGGTAAAGGTTCGGAAATATAAAGTTTACCACTTAAAAGTTGTTCACATAAATCCATTAGATATTCCAAAGATTTATTACTATTATTATATTGATAGATTCTCTTTCTTTCATCTATGGCAAAAATGTATGGTGATTGCCTTTCGGGGCTGGTGAATTTACAAATACAATCCAAGGGCTTCCATTCTTTATGCATTATATCTATATCTAGCATATCGGCTGCTATAAATTCTATACTATTACCATATTTATTAGATAATTGGCTTAATAAATGTAACCATTTAGTTTGGTAGGCACATTTTCGTTGAAAGTGATTAAACATTATCAAAATAGGTCGTTTTATCTGATGAAATGTAAATCGCTGCAATAATGTTATTTTACCTTTATAAGTTTCTCGTAGATATTTTTCAAAATTTATTTCTATATGCGGTGGTTTAGGTGGTGATCTGCCGAATATGTTGCAGTAGAATTCTTCATTATCTTCCTCATCTAGAGCTTCGCTATCGCTGAGGATATTGTTAAAAATTTGTATAATTTGATCAATATTTTCGTTTTCCATAATTATGTTATCGGTGATAGTATGTTTTCTAATGTTTACCCTATAATTACTATTTGTTAATAAATCGCACGCACAGACCTTTTAAATATATTATGTTAGGCAAACTTTTTCTTGGAATCAATGTCGTAAAGGGAATTTCACAAAATTATTATTTTGGAAAATTTAATCGCAGATATCAACAATAACATAAACTTTACTTTCTGTTAAAAGTTCTTTAAAAGCTTTTGGTAGACAAAAATGCACGAATTTAAAGAGAGAGCGGCAGAGATAAACCTTCATTGCGATATTAATATACTGAATTAGAACTGAACTATATCTGAACAAGAACTGAATTAAAACTGAACTAGAACTGAACTAGAACAGAACTAGAACTGAACTAGAACTGAACTAGAACTGAATTAGAACTGAACTAGAACTGAACTAGAACTGAACAAGAACTGAACTAGAACTGAACTAGAACTGAACTAGAACTGAACTAGAACTGAACTGGAACTGAACTAGAATTGAACTTCAACTGAACTAGAACTGAACTAGATATAAACTAGGACTGAACTAGGACTGAACTAGTACTGAACTGGAACTGAATTAGAACTGAAATAGAATTGAACTAGAACTGAACTAGAACTGAACTAGAACTGAACTAGAACTGAACTAGAACTGAACTAGAACTGAACTAGAACTGAACTAGAACTGAACTAGAACTGAACTAGAACTGAACTAGAACTGACTAGAACTGAACTAGAACTGAACTAGAACTGAACTAGAACTGAACTAGAACTGAACTAGAACTGAACTAGAACTGAACTAGAACTGAACTAGAACTGAACTAGAACTGAACTAGAACTGAACTAGAACTGAACTAGAACTGAACTAGAACTGAACTAGAACTGAACTAGAACTGAACTAGAACTGAACTAGAACTGAACTAGAACTGAACTAGAACTGAACTAGAACTGAACTAGAACTGAACTAGAACTGAACTAGAACTGAACTAGAACTGAACTAGAACTGAACTAGAACTGAACTAGAACTGAACTAGAACTGAACTAGAACTGAACTAGAACTACTAGAACTGAACTAGAACTGAACTAGAACTGAACTAGAACTGAACTAGAACTGAACTAGAACTGAACTAGAACTGAACTAGAACTGAACTAGAACTGAACTAGAACTGAACTAGAACTGAACTAGAACTGAACTAGAACTGAACTAGAACTGAACTAGAACTGAACTAGAACTGAACTAGAACTGAACTAGAACTGAACTAGAACTGAATTAGAACTGAACTAGAACTGAACTAGAACTGAACTAGAACTGAACTAGAACTGAACTAAAATTGAACTAGAACTGAACTAGAACTGAATTAGAACTGAACTAAGACTGAATTAGAACTGAACTAAGACTGAACTAGAACTGAACTAGAATTGAACTAGAACAGAACTTAACTATAACATAACTAGAACTGAACTAGAACTGATCATAGAATATTACCATCGGTACCAAATACACTTTCTTACTAGTTACAAAAAAACTATTTTTAATTAATTTTTTCAAAAATATTTACAAATTTTTATTGAAAAACTAAAACAATATATTAAATATATTTTATAATAAATTAGTTTTTATTAACCATTCTCCACATTAAATTTAATAAATTCCAAAATGTTTTCCCTATTTAAATAGTCCCCTCTTAAAGTTCTATTATCCCGTTTATTTTCTAAGGGTATAAAATAAGAAACTGCATAGCTATCTTGCTTATACTCCAAGTCCACATAGTTCAAGTCAACATTAAACTTCACCACTTCCACATTTAAAGATTTTACCTCCTCGACAATTTCCTGCAATAGAATTAAAAGTTTTTCCGCTTTCTCATCAGAGGCCGAATAAAATGTTATAAAAATATGTTTCTTTAAATGTTTAAGGAAAAAATTAAAATAATTGGACGGCCAATCTTTGACCAATTCTTTTTCAATATTTCGGGAATAATCTTGGGAATAGTAGAAATCTCCATTATCCAAACTATCGGCGAAATAGAAAAGGGAAGCTGGTGATTTGTAGTTGTTAAATTCAAATGTATGTTTTAAACGATCGAAACCGTATATTTTGGGTTTTCCTTGGGCAGCAAGGATTAAATCCTCGGGTTTCCATTTTGAGTTAATAACAGCAATTTCCTTAAAGTCAGCTATCATAAATTGAAAACCGTAAAGTATGGAGGCCACTTGATAGAGTTTATTAAACCAGTTTACGTGATGAGCCAAACATTTTCCCTGGAAATCCATAAATGCTACAATAATAATATCTGATGATTGGTCTATTAGGTCACGATTTAATATTTTAATGGTATTATTATAATTTTTTCTAAAAATTCTTCCAAATCTTTATCGTAGTCCACTAGGAAATCATGGGCTATTTGTACGGCTTGAAATTTCATTCTATTTTTTTGTTGCTGTTGCAGATTAGGCAAATAGTCGGGTTGCTCCAATAGATTTTTAAGAAATTCTATTGTACTCTCTTCTGTTGTCATATCTTCATAGTAGACGAAATTCTTTTTATCATTAAGGGGTATAAATATTAAAGTGGGAAGGCCGTAGGCATAATACTCAAATGGTATATAATTCTCTTCGGCTTGCATATAAACAATATCCAGATTATAATCTTTCAAGGCTAAAGCCGCTTGATTATAATTAGTTTCATTTTCCTGTAGTTGTTTCAGATTTATAATTAAAAATATATTTTTTGAGGATTTTAAAACCAATTCCTTATGATTATTGTGAACACATATTTTAACCAAATTATTTTTATTATTTTCTGGTAAGGGCTGTGAGGGAAATAGTTTTCCTTTTAAAAGATTCTCACATAATTCCGTTAAAGTCCCTATTTCTTTGAAGACATCTAAAAGTTCATGTACACACTTCTTTTCATCTAAAGCATATACTGTGGGTGTCACATCTTCGGGTCTCACAAATATGGAAAAGAATTTCAGAGGATTTCTACCCGGAAATATTATATCCATATCAAATAAATCAGCTGCTATAAATTCTATACGATCACCATATTTTATTGATAATTCATACATTCTATCCAGCCATTTAGTGTGATAGGTACATTTTTCCCGAAAATGATTAAACATAATAACAATAGGACGTTTTATGTGTGGAAATGTTTCACGATTTAAAACCTTAATTTTGTTGCCGCATTTTTCCTTGATATATAACTCAAAATCTATATATGCTGGGGCTTTCAGAAGTAATTTAGGTTTTGGTATAGGTTTATAACGCCATTGTTTATAAACATAAATATCGTTTTTATCACTATCGGGTGTTAATAAATGTTTACTTATTTTTTACATTTAGTTCCCATAACGTTAGTAAGCAGCGAAAACTAAAATTTACTGACTTTATAACCATTAATCGATTTATATAGACAAAAAGCTTTTTTAAGACAAAACTGTGATACATGGGGTAGATAACAATTTCTGAAGGGGTATTTATTTGTTATTATTATACCGCTGTAAATTTTAATTGCTGGTACATATTTTCAAAAATTTTTCATTTCTTCTTTCTTTCAGTGTTTCTTTAACATTTTATGAAATAAATAAAAGTTTCTAAATTAAAAAAATCCCCTAAAATCGCAATTTTTAATACGCCCTCAAAAAAATTGTTTGTAAACAAATTCAACGTCTAACGCAGGCATGGAAATTTCAAATTTTGAAATGGTACTAATTTATGTCTAAATTTATTATTATGTACTAAATTAATTTTCCGCTAAATGAGTTTTAGGTTAGATTAGATTTCTCTTTAAAAATTTGTGCGGATATAAACTATACTATACTATAGACTAGACTAGATTGTAGACTAGTCTATAGACTAACTATACACTAGACTAGAGTGTAGAATAGAGTTTAGACTAGACTAGAGTATATAGACTACAGTATGGACTAGAGTATAGACTAGAGTATGGACTAGACTATAGACTAGACTATAGATTCGACAATAGACTTGACTATAGACCAGGTTATGGACTAGATTATGGACTAGACTATAGACTAGACTATAGACTAGACTATAGACTAGACTATAGACTAGACTATAGACTAGACTATAGACTAGACTATAGACTAGACTATAGACTAGACTATAGACTTGACTATAGACTAGACTATAGACTAGACTATAGACTAGACTATACTAGACTAGACTAGACTATAGACTAGACTATAGACTAGACTATAGACTAGACTATAGACTAGACTATAGACTAGACTATAGACTAGACTATAGACTAGACTATAGACTAGACTATAGACTAGACTATAGACTAGACTATAGACTAGACTATAGACTAGACTATAGACTAGACTATAGACTAGACTATAGACTAGACTATAGACTAGACTATAGACTAGACTATAGACTAGACTATAGACTAGACTATAGACTAGACTAGAGACTAGACTATAGACTAGACTAGACTAGACTATAGACTAGACTATAGACTAGACTATAGACTAGACTATAGACTAGACTATAGACTAGACTATAGACTAGACTATAGACTAGACTATAGACTAGACTATAGACTAGACTATAGACTAGACTATAGACTAGACTATAGACTAGACTATAGACTAGACTATAGACTAGACTATAGACTAGACTATAGGCAAGACTATAGACTAGACTATAGACTAGAGTATATGTTAGCCTATAGACTAGAGTAGACCCAAAATGTCGTGGTGGTATTATGGTAAAAAAACTACTATAGTATGAAATTTTCCGTCCCTGTCCTAAAACCATTTTGTGAAATTAACCGGTAACAACAAATAAAAAAGCTTATTAAAAGTTTTAGTGGAGAAAAAAACTTTAATATTGACACTCTTTATAAAAGAGACTTTCCTTATAATTCCCACACTAAATTATTAGTGAGGAAATTTACACTTTAAGAAATTTCACATTAGAATTAAAAAAAAGTTAAGCTTTGCACTTACAGGTTTATGATGAATTTATTTTTAATATTTTTTTTAAATTTATGAATTTCAGAAAAAATCTTAGTATGGAAGCTACTAAAAAACACATTTTTTTCAGTGTGGTAAAAAACATTTTGCGAAATTAAACGGTAACAAGTAAAGCTTCTCATTAAAAGTTTTTGTAGAGAAAAAAGCTTTAGTGAATAAGCTTAAGAGTGTAACTTTTTAAAAAACATACACACATTACTCATTACTTAATTGTTTATAAACAAAATCGTTACACTTAGAGAAATTATATCTTGAAATTAAAAAAGTTTTCAGATAAATTTTTAACTATTTACATATTTTTGGTCTATCTATGAAGAGATTAGTTTAATATTCAAAATGTAAAAAATTGAAATGTTTACTATTTCATAACAGGTTTTATTGATATTCAAAATAAAATGCATGTTAAAGCGTGGCATATTTGCAGTGTAGCAATTTAAAATATATTTGATATTTTATAGCTTTTTGGCTTGTTTACTATATAAAACTATATAAAAACAAATCCTAGAACAATTCTAAATATTAGTCCAAATAGTTTAGTTAAGACCGTCACTTAATATCAAAAATAAAAACAACATGGAGAGTGAAGAATTTGAAGATATAACAAAAGCGTTTAATCAAATCGATATTCAAGACTTACCAGGTAGTGAAAAGAATGATATATTTTCGCCCGCAGCTAGGACATGGTATAAATATGTACCAGAACAAATATACCCACGTCAACAGCCTGAATATATTGACTTCGAGTTATATATCAAAGAAAATTGTGAAAATAAAATTAAAGTATTAAATCGTCGAAATTTTCCACATATCAAACGTCCTATTGTTATATTCTTTCATCATTTTCGTGAGAAATGTGCCTATCTTACCAAATGGCTGGATAGTATCTATCGGTTGGTTTTAAAATATGGTGATCGCATAGAATTTATAGCAGCCGATATGTACGACATTGATGTTATATATCCCAGAAGTAATCCCATAAATTTTTACAGCCGTCTCGTGAGACCAGAAGATGAATGCCCCAACATCTATGTTATAGATGAGAAAAAACGCATACATCAACATTTTGATGCCCATAATACAGTGGAAAATTTATCAGAATTATGTGAAAAATTCTTAAGAGGTAATTTGTATCCTTCTCAACCTCTACCGAAAGATAATGAGAAAAAATTGGTGAAAATATGTGTCTATAACAATTATGAGGAATTGATATTAAACTCAACAAAAAATATATTTTTAATTGTAAGTTTGAGTCAGTACCAGGATTACGAACCCAATTATGAAAATGTGGCTTTAATGTTAAAGGACTACAATTTGGATATTGTTTATATGGAGGCCGAAAAGAACTATATACCTTTTGAGTATTGTGCCAATTCATATCCCACTATATTATTCATACCTCATGATGATAAAAATAATTTCATATATTATGAATATAGCCGATCAGAGGAAGACATAATAGGATTTCTAAAAGATTGTTTAGAAAAACCAGAATATTTGAAATCACTACAGGAATACCAAAGTTCCAGAAACTGTAAGACAGCCCAAGTATGCCCAGACTTTTCCTTAGATTTTAAAGAATTGCCAGCATTTCTGCACCAGCATTATGACAGCTATATAACGTTATTAAATCGTAAAACTCTAGAGCAAACCAAACAATTTGCTCTTATAGTATTTATGGATTTTCAAGGAAAATGTTCAGCTCAGCAAGTGGAGTGGTTAAATAAACTTTATCAAGTGGCCGAAACCTGTTATTCGTTTGTAATATTTATAGCAGATTTTAAGGAAATCGATGTCATAAACAACCAATGGAATCCTGAAGACTTTATAAAATCCGCCCATGGAATACCCCAAATATATGCCTTTGATCGCCTAAAAAATATTTATGAATTTGGTAATTTCCATAAACCAGCATCTTTATTCTATTTTACTGATAGTTTACAAAATGGTGATTTCTACTATTCTGAAGTGTACAAAAGATATATGGATCGTGAATTGCTTAAACATTGGTCTGCCAATTATTTGAAGATATTTTTGAAAAAATCTAAAAAACATATATTTATAACATTTTACTCATCGGATAATGAAAATACGGAAAAACTTGTAAATTTATTGCAAACTATGTCTGAAGATGTTAAGGACTTGGAGGTTGAGGTGGTCATGTTTGATGTTAAGTTTAATTATTTAAGTTTGGAATTTGTTCAACCCAGCTATCCGGTTCATTATTTTATACCCAAAAAAAATAAAAGTGATAGAAGACTTTATGTGGATCATAATTTAAGGAGAGATAATATGTTGGAGTTTATTAAAAATAATGTTGAGGCAAATTGAGATTAAAGTTATTTATTTTTAATATTTAGTGTAATTATTTTTCAAGGTTTAAATTTTAATAAATTAATAAATGCTTTATTTGTAATAAATTGTATTAAATTTATTTTTTAATTGTTATTTTTTTTTAAACAATATTATATGATGCATATAATTCCTTATTATATAAATCGATATAACCGTCATTTTCGCGTGTCGCAAATTACTCTTCTAGAACAATGTCCTCTAATTAATCATATTTCATGATAATAAAATAATTTCACAAAAACTTCATCCTACTACCACCATTTAAAATATTTGCAACTGCATAACAACAATAGTTAGTTTAGAACAAATTTAACTTTATTCTCAATAACTTTTTTCACTCAAATATTTTTTTATGGGAATCAAACGAATGTTAAAATCCTTCATTTAACCGAAATCTTTTTAATTTCGTCCATAATATACCCAAATTCCATAATGTATCTTTTTACGAAAATCATTTCAAAAGTTCATTAATCCTTTGTTAACATGAAAATTTCTGACAAGTTTTTTCTTTCAGTGCATAAATTATAAACAAATATTTTGCGAAATTATCAATACGCATTCAATAAAAAGAATAACAAGTTTGCATGAGAATAAAGCTTTAAATTTATGCTCTTTGATAGATAATAAAGCTTTATATTTATACTCTTTAAAGTAAAAGCTCTCTTTTATAATTTCACAATGTGTTTAAAAATAAACATAGAGAAATTATAGCTACAAATTAATGTAAAAAAATTTATCGTCTATAGTCAAGACTATATTCAGGTCTATAGTCAAGACTATATATTGGTCTTTAGTCAATACTATAACCTGGTCTATAGTCAATACTACAGTCTGATTTATACTCAATACTATGGACCAGTTTGTAGTCTTGACTACAGACCAGTCAAGACTGTAAACTGGTCTATAGTCAAGACTAAAAGTGTTCTATAGTCAAGACTATAAACTGGTCATTAGTCAAGACAGTAAACTGGTCTATAGCCACGTCTATAAACTTGTCAATAGTCAAGACTATAAACTAGTCTATAGTAAAGACTATATACTGGTCTATAGTCAATACTAAAGTCTGGTTTATACTCAATAGTCAAGAATATAAACTGGTCTATAATCAAGACTGTAAACTGATCTATAGTCAAGACTAAAACTGTTCTATAGTCAAGACTATGGACTAGTATATAATCAAGATTTTAGATTAGTCCATAATCAAGACTTTAGACTAGTCTATAGTTAAGATTATAGACTGGTCTATAGTCAAGGCTATAAACTGGTCTGTAGTCAAGACTATAAATTTGTTTGTAGTCAAAACTGTTCTATAGTCAAGACTATAAAATGGTCTATGGTCAAGTCTATAAACTGGTCTATAGTCAAGACTATAAACTGTTCTATAGTCAAGACTATAAACTGGTCTATAGTCAAGACTACAAACTGGTCTATAGTCAAGATTATAAACTGGTCTGTAGTCAAGACTATAATTTGGTCTGTAGTCAAAACTGTTCTATAGTGAAGACTAAAAACTGGTCTATGGTCAAGACTATAAACTGGTCTATAGTCAAGACTATAAACTAGCCTGTTGACTGGTCTATAGTCAAGACTATAACTGTTCTATAGTCAAGACTATAGACTAGTCTATAATCAAGACTTTAGATTAGTCCATAATCAAGACTTTAGACTAGTCTATAGTCAAGACTATAAACTGGTCTATAGCCAAGACTATAAACTGGTCTATAGCCAAGACTATAAACTGGTCTATAGTCAAGACTATAAACTGGTCTATAGTCAAGACTATAGACTAGTCTATAGTCAAGACTATAAACTGGTCTGTAGTCAAGACTATAAATTGGTATGTAGTCAAAACTATAAATTGGTGGACCAGTTTATAGTCTAGTAAAGACTATAAACTGGTCTATAGTCAAGACTATAAACTAGCCTGTAGTATGACTGGTCTATAGTCAATACTATAGACTGGTCTATAGTCAATACTATAGACTGGTCTATAGTCAATACTATAGACTGGTCTATAGTCAATACTATAGACTGGTCTATAGTCAATACTATAGACTGGTCTATAGTCAATACTATAGACTGGTCTATAATCAATACTATAGACTGGTCTATAGTCAATACTATAGACTGGTCCAGAGTCAATACTATAGACTGGTCTATAGTGAAAACTATAGACTGGTCTATAGTCAGTACTATAAACTAGTATACAGTCAATACTATAGACTGGACTATACTTAATACTATAGACTAGTCTATAGTCAATATTATAAACTAGTCTATAGTCAATACTTTAAACTAGTCAATAGTCAAGACTACAAACTAGTCTATAGTCAAGACTACAATCTATTTTATAGTCAGGACTGTAAACTAGTCTATAGTCAGGACTGTAAACTAGTCTATAGTCAAGATTATAAACTAGTCTACAGTCAATACAATAAACTGGTCTATAGTCAAGACTATAAACGGGTCTGTAGTCAAGACAATAATTTGGTCTGTAATCAAAACTATAAATCAATACTAAAGTCTGGTTTATACTCAATGCTATAGCCTGGTCTGGTAAAACTATAAACTGGTCTACAGTCAAGACTGTAAAAAGGTCTATGGTCAAGACTAAAACTGTTCTATAGTCAAGACTATAAACTGGTCTTTGGTCAAGACTATAAACTGGTCTATAGTCAAGACTAAAAACTGGTATATAATCAAGATTATAAACTGATATTTAGTCAAGTTTATAAACTGGTCTGTAGTCAAGACTATAAAATGGTCTATAGTCAAGACTATAAAATGGTCTATAGTCAAGACTACAAAATTGTCTTTAGTCAAGACTACAAATGGTCTATAGTCAAGACTATATTCTTGTCCAGACTAGTCTAGAGTTAAGACTATAGTCAAGGAAGGCTGTTTTTCTATTGAAAAATATTTTTGGTTAAAAATATGAAGTATTAGAACTTAAAATGGATTTTTTCCCCAAAAGTAAAATGAATCATTAAAAGGACTGGTTTATATTTATTTTAATAAGTTTATTTTTGTTATTGTTATTACTTTATTTAATAAAAATTAATTAAAAATTAACAAAAAATCAAATTGAATTTTCTTCTACATTAATTTTAATAAAATCTAAAATTTTATCCAAATTTAAGTCATTATCTGCATAAAGTCGACTATCACGTTTATTTAGCTTGGGAATAAAATAAAAAGCCGGATATTTCTTCTGAGCATATTCCAAGTCCACATAGTTAAGTTTTATATCAAATTTCACCACATCAACATTAAGATCTTTAACTTCTTTGGCCAGTAATTCCAATAAATTTAAAATATTTTCGGTATGATCATCAAGTGAAGAATATAATGTGATAAAAATATGATTTTTCGAAGAATGAAGTAAACTATAAAATAGATCAGCAGTCCAAGTTTTAACTAATGCTTGATCCATATCAGTAGGATATAATTCAGAATAGTATAGATCTCCATGTTCAATGCTATCGGCAAAATAATATAAAGAGGAAATGGAATCAAAATTGCCAAATTCATAGCTGTGGTTTAGGACGATCCAAGGCATATATTTTAGGTTTTCCCTGTGACGATTCTATAACTTCCTCCAATTGCCATTTGGTATTAATAACATCTATATCCTCAAAATCAGCTATGAAAAATTTAAATACACTTATTTCCGCCAACTGATAAAGTTTATTTAACCATTCTATATGCTGAGGGCTGCATTTTCCTTGAAAATTCATAAAAGCTATAAGTATTAATTTTTTTCGATTTCTCGATTACTTCACGATCCAAAATTTCGAAGCAACCATTATATTTATCTTTTAGAAATTGTGGTAATTTTTTAAAAGGCAATCTAACATCTGCGGCTATCTGAACCGATTTACATTGTATTTTACTTTGTTGTTCCTGTTGCAGGGATTGCAAATATTGGGGCTGTTCGAGTAGTTTTTTAAGAAAATCCAATTCTTTTTTGTAAACCATCATAGTAAACGAAATTATTTTATCATCATGAGGTATAAATAATATAGTGGGATAACTTTTAATCTGATACTCGAAAGGTATATAGTTTTTCTCGGCCTCCATATAAACAATATCCAAATTGTAGTCTTTTAATTCCACAGCTAGATTCTCATAATCAGGTCCCGCTGTTTGATTTTTATCCTTATGAATAATTAAAATATATTTTTGGTGGAATTTAAGACCAAGTCTTCATAATTATCATGGACACATATTTAATTAAATTATTTTCATTATTTTCTGGTATCGGCTGGGAAGGAAATAGTTTTCCTGTTAAGAGATTTTCACATAATTCGGATAAATGTTTCTCGCCTTGGAAATTATGTTCATGCACACGTTTCCTTCATCTAAAGCATATATAAATGGTGTTTGATTTTCGGGTCTTACCAATCGAGAATAGAAAGTTAAGGGATTTCTTTTGTTATATAATACATCTATATCCATAATATCGGCAGCTATAAAAACAATATCATCTTTATATTTCAAACTCAATTGATAGCAAATATCCAGCCAATTGGTATGAAAGGCACAGGTTTGTTTGAAAATGATTGAAAATATTTACAATAGGTTTCTTAATTTGATGAAATGTTTTACGTTTTAAATTTGTATTTTGTTATCACAATTTTCTTTTAAATACTTTTCGAATCTATATATTCGGGTAAAATACGTTTTAATTTTGGTTTCGGTACAAAATCTATTTTTGCGTGGTTTATTTTGATTTAATATTGTTGTGGTATTTTCCGAAGTTTTGCACTCCATGGTGTTAATAGTTGATGGTTGGTATTTGAACTGATTAAAATTTTAGCATTCTTATGGGTTTTTATTATAAATGACTCAGTTATACATAATATGGGCAGGTAGTAAGTGAGGAGAAATTATGATAGAGTAAAATACAGCTAAATGATGAAATGTTTCTACACTGTAAAATTGTTTTGATAAAGTTTTTTTAAGAATTTTTAAATTTTTTTTGAATTAAAATAAAATATTAAGAATGAAAAACATAAAATATAAAGTTTTGACCATTAGACCAGCCTATAGTATTGGACTGTCTATAGTATCGGCTATAGACTTGATAGTGCAGTCTATAGTCATAACTATAGATCAATCGGTCTTAACTATAGATAAGTCTATAGTGTTGACTATATAGTCTTGTCTATAGATCAGTACATAATGTTGACTATAGATCAGTCTATAGTATTGACTATAGATCAGTCTATAGTCTTGACTATAGATCAGTCTATAGTCTTGACTATAGATCAGTCTGTAGTCTTAACTATATATCAGTCTATAGTCTTGACTATAGATCAGTCTATAGTCTTGACTATAGATCAGTCTGTAGTCTTAACTATATATCAGTCTATAGTCTTGGCTATAGATCAGTCCATAGTCTTGACTATAGATCAGTCTATAGACCTAACTATAGGTCATTATATTTTCTTGACTATAGATCGGTCTATAGTCTTGACTATAGATCAGTCTTTAGTCTTGACTATAGATCAGTCTATAGTCTTGACTATAGATCAGTTTATAGTCTTGACTATAGATCAGTCTATAGTCTTGGCTATATATCAGTCTATAGTCTTGGCTATAGATCAGTCCATAGAATTGACTATAGATCAGTTCATAGTCTTGACTATAGATCAGTCTATAGTCTTGACTATAGATCAGTCTATAGTCTTGACTATAGATCAGTCTTTAGTCTTGACTGTAGATCAGTCTTGTCTATAGTCAGTCTGATCTATAGTCTTGACTATAGATCAGTCTATAGTCCTGACTATAGATCATTCTATGGTCTTGACAATAGATATAGATCAGTCTATAGACCTAACTATAGATCATTCTATTTTCTTGACTATAGATCGGTCTATAGTCTTGACTATAGATCAGTCTTTAGTCTTGACTATAGATCAGTCTATAGTCTTGACTATAGATCAGTTTATAGTCTTGACTATAGATCAGTCTATAGTCTTGGCTATAGATCAGTCTATAGTCTTGGCTATATATCAGTCTATAGTCTTGGCTATAGATCAGTCCATAGAATTGACTATAGATCAGTCCATAGTCTTGACTGTAGATCAGTCTATAGTCTTGACTATAGATCAGTCTATAGTCTTGACTATAGATCAGTCTTTAGTCTTGACTATAGATCAGTCTTGTCTACAGTCAGTCTGATCTATAGTCTTGACTATAGATCAGTCTATAGTCCTGACTATAGATCATTCTATGGTCTTGACAATAGATCATTTTGTAGTATTGACTTTAAATTGACTTTAGATATATCATTCTATAGTTTTTAGTCTTGATTATAGATCAGTCTATAGTCTTGACTATGGACCACTCTATAGTATTCACTATAGGTCAGTATATAGTATTAACTATAAATCAGACTATAGTCTTGACTGTTGCTTTGGGTTTTCCAGACTAGCGGTCTATAGTCATGACTATAGACCATAGTCTTGACCATAGATCAGCCTACAGTCCAGACTAAAGCTCTGTTTATAGCTCTGACTATATATCAATCTACAGTCTTGACTATAGATCTGTAGAATGATCTACAGTCTTGAATATTGATCATTCTATAGTCCTGACCATAGAACAGTCTTTAGTCTTGACTATAGATCTATCTATAGTCTTGACTATAGACCAGTTCTGTAGTCTTGACTACACACCAGTCTATATTTTTGGCTACTTACAGAACGGTCTATACTCTTGATTTCTGAAATATGAAGTGATTTTTGAAATAAACGATTAGAAATGCATATTTTTTTGTAAACAAATTTACAAAGTTTTATTAATTTTCTATAAAAAGTTAAAAAAAAACTTTAAAATACTTATATTAAATTATTAATTAATTTGCGCATTATTTTTAATAAACTCCAATATCTTAGCTCTATTTAAATCATCATCCATATAAAGTCTGCTGTCTGTTTTATTATGTTTGGGTATAAAATAATATGCCGGATATTTCTTCTGGGCATATTCCAAATCCACATAGTTGTAATCAATATTGAATTTTCCCACTTCAACGTTTAAGTTCTTAACATCTTCAGCTAAAAGATCTAATAAATTTAACAAGTTTCCAGTATTTTCATTCTCCGTGGAGTAAAATGTTATAAAAATATGTTTTTGAGTTTTCTTAAGAAATATATTAAAATAAGCGGCAGTCCATTGTTTTACTAATTGGCCAATGTTTGATCTGCAGTATTTTTCGGAATAATAAAGTTGTCTTGTTTCCAGACTAGCGGTAAAATAAAAAAAATGGTTGCACTATCAAAATTACCAAATTCATAAGAATGTTTGTGAAAATCAAAGGCATAGATTTTGGGTTTATTTTGTGCTGATTTGATTAAATCTTGAGGCTTCCATTTGGTGTTAATAACATCAATATCTTTAAAATCGGCTATAAAGAATTCATATATAAGAGATCTGGCAGCTACGGGATAGATTTCATTAAGCCATTGTATATGTTTTGCTAAACATTTCATATCTGGAAAATCCATATATATAACATAATGGTAACGATAACTTTCAGAATTTGATAAAATTTGTCGATCCAAAACTTTGAATGTATCATTAAAGTTATCTTGCAAAAATTGTGTCAGTTGGTGAAAATCTATTTGAAAATCTTTATGTACTTGTACAGTTTTTCTGGAAAATCTATTTTTTCAGTTGCCGTTGTTTGAGTTCTAAAATTTCGGGATAATCAATAACGTTTTGTAAAAATTCTATAATGTCTCCTTCTAGTAGGGCTCCTTCATAGTATATAAAATTGTGTTTATCTTTTTGGGGTATAAATATTAAGGTGGGATAGCATTTGTCAATGTGATACTCAAAGGGTATATAATTCTTTTCAGCCTCCATGTATACGAAATCTAAATTATAGTTTTGTAGGGCCAAGGCCACTTTTTCGTAATTTAGCTTGAGTTCTTGTAGTTCATATTTCTGCAAATTTATTATAAGAAACACATTGTTGTTGGACTCCAAGACCAGTTCCTTGTAATTGAGCTCAACTGCTATTTTTATTAAATCTGTTGTATTGCTTTCCGTTAGAGGTAACGAGGGATAAAGTTTTCCATTTAAAAGATGTTCACATAAATCTTTTAGAGTTATAACGCAGTCATCAGAGTATTTATATATTCTTTTATTTTCATCCATGGCATAGATTAAAGTAGTCTGATCCTCTACTTTTAATCTTCTAGACAGGTAATTTAATGAATTTCTTCCTGGATATAAAATATCTATATCCATAATATCGGCCGCTATGAATTCTATAAGATCATCATATATTAATTTCAGTTCATACATTTCATTGAGGGATTTAGTGTGGTGTACACATTTTTCTCGATAATGATTAAAAAATATTATCATGCGACGATTTATTTGATAGAATGTTTTCCGTTTTAAAATTTTTATTTTATCCTGGCAATTTTCTTTTATATATGCTCAAAATCTATTTTTTGTGGTGCTATATAACGCTGTTGCTTTGGGTTTATAATCGTAATAATATGAATTAGTTTGAACATAATTATTATATTTTTCACTGCC